TTCCCATAAAAAGCTGCTCAGGTGGCTTAGTATGGCAGGCTAATGGGGGAAGGCGGAGGCGGCTGCTGCACCTGCTAATGCTTTGGCTCAGGCTGGTGGCACAGAGGCTGCCGCGAATTCCCCCTGAGCAGCAAGCTGTTCGTGGCAGGAATGCCTCGCTCCGAGGAGCGCTCCTGCTACGACAACAAAGAGCTCTTTGATCCCTTCCATTTGGAGAACTTAAAACGAGAAAGCCAAACTACAATAAGACCAAGTTGGGTCATAAAAAAGAGAGCAGGAGCACCAAAGCGCTCTGGAGTGTAATTGTAGAAGTAGCAAATGCTTTGGCACTTAATTCTGCTTTAGTGTCAGTTCAACATGTTTCACGTTTAAGACTGGAGAGCCTGTCGCCAAATGCTCTGCACAAACAATCTGAGGCTGCTCCCTGGTAAGCTCAGGGTGCTCAGAGAGCCCCTGGCTCCAGTGTGGCTCCTTTGGCTGTGCTTCTGTTGCACACGGGGTGGGGTTGGTCCATGGTGTAGAAAGACTCACCCTTTACTGGAGGGTGAGCCTTAGGTGGCTGCTGGTGTTCTAACCCTGCTCAATAAAAAGACTGGGACTACTCAAGTCTGCTGCCTTGGCACTGGGCAGTGGCTCACTGCCACTGGGGCTGCTCCCCAGCTGTTATTCCAGAGATGGAAGCCAGCACTTCATGCTGCTCAGGCTGTGCTTTTCTTGCCTCTGCGCAGACCTGGGCGATGTCCCAGACGTGTCTGTGGAAGGTGACATTTAGATCAGGCATTTTATAAGTAAATTATCAGAAATTTGGCTAACAGATACCACATCTTCCCATGAGTGGTAGAGGTGTGTTTAAACTAAATATGCTCCGAATTATTTATCTGCAAAGAACTGATCTGCAATGTGTCAGCTCTGTGGAGGTGTGGCCTCATCATGTGGCCAGGCAGCAGCCTCTGGGGGCAAAATTGGCAGTTTGGTGGTGGCTCGTCACAGGTGCCAGGAGGTGTTGACCTGCAAAGAGCCCATACCCTTCACAGGAGCAGGGCTGTGCCTCTGCTCTGCGTCTGCTCTGAGCAGGGAGCTGGAGCTGCAAAGCTCTTGTGCCTGCCCTGCAAGGATGTGGGCATGTAGGGGTGGCTGTGGGTCCTCTTCCATCCTATGGCCAAACCACTGAGCCAGATGGCTCCTGTGCAGCTCTGAGGCTTTCAAGAACTTCTTTATTGTAAAGAATTGGTTCAAAACATAAAGCTCCATGTTTTGAAGGGCGAGTGCTCTGCAAGGTGCATCCTTGCCAGCACGATATGTATGAAATGCATCTTGGCAGCAGCTCCCGACTGACGTCGGTGATGAAGGGTGCAGCCCTGGAGCATTTGCACTGGGAGCTGCTGGGGAAGGGTGAGCCTGTGGCTGGAGCAGGGAGTGATGCTTGGCCAAAGCTGTCTCTCTTTTCTCTTCCACCCCCTTCTCTTTGGAGGAGTGAGGAGATGGCTGACAGACCGAAGCAGTGATTTGCTATGGCTTAAATAGGGACATGATTAAATTTTAAGTGATGGACACCTGATGATTAAAAAGTATTGAAAACCCTTATAAATCGATTTTTCCCCTAACAGATTGCTGTGGGTCCAGCTCTTTGTGGTGTAGGTAACATGTGCGAATGATTTATTCTATTGGGGATTATAACAGATGCTCTAAAATTATCTTTTAAGTGTTTGAAAATCATTTGTCTGTCTCTGGCGTGTCTTAGCACATACAGGAATGCTCTGTTTGGGGAAGTGAGGCCCTTATCCTGATTTATCTCAAGGTGCTTGTAAATGTTACTGCAATTTCATGTTATCAAATCATTTAGCTCTTCCTCTTCCAGAACGAAGTTATTTTATCTCATGCACCTTGTTTACTTCAAATTAGCCCTGAGGTTGGCCTGAAGTTGCACCTCGTTATTCTTCCACCTCCTGTCTCCGTCTTAGGCTCTGTCGGCAGATTTGAAGGTATAAGTAAATACTTTTTTGTTATCAGTAGAATAAGTTTCCTCTTCTACATATGTTTTCTTTTCATTCCAGTCTTTGTTTTTTATGAGAAACTGACATTGCAGTACAAGCAGAAACCTCCCAAATTGCTTAATTCTCCTAGCAACAAGGTCAGGGCTCAAGTCCAGTCCTTTTCCATGAGCATGGGGGTACAGCCCTTCCAATTACCTGCTCCCTCTGTGGTATGGATCCGGTCAGTTCACCAGCACCTGGGTTTGGGTGGATTTGAATCTCAGCCACGTTATTGTTTAAAAATTCTCCACTCATTGGGGAAGGGTTTGTAGTGGGCTGAGCCCTGAGAAACCTGAGGCTGGTTTTATGGCTTCCCATTGAAACCTGTGGAACCCTGTGGTGTCGACTGATTTTCCCCTTTCCCACTCATGTGGCTTTGATCAAACCCAGGACTCGGAGAATGACCCCCCCCGGAACTGGAACCACTGAGCTTTGCCCAGTTCTGCCGTTCATTAAAGTGTTTGTGAGCTTCCAGTTGTGGATGGTAAAACGAGGACCTTTGTTCCTGTCTAGGATGGAGACTGCTGGTCCTATGGCAGAGCCCCTGTACAGGCCCTGCATTAGCATATTTGTTGCAAAAGCTGCCAGAATTTCATTTGCCCTCTTAATGAAACCTACCCTGGTAATGAAACCCTTTAGGCAGGATGTGCATTACTGGCTTTAGGGCAAACATCACATATTGTTGCACGGATGGAATTGAAGCTCTGCTGAAGGCATTAAGTCATGGAGGAATGGCTCGTCCTGGGGGCTGCTGGTGACCAGCCATCCTCTGTTGCTGCCTGTGTGACTCCAGCCTGGGTCATCGTGCCCAATGGTTCCCATTGTGCAGCTCTGTTTGTAGCTCATGCACGGTTTTTTGGGGATCGAGGTGCAGGGAAGCCTGAGCAGCATGGCAGCATGGTTTCCCTCCTGTCTCGTGATCCCCTGCCCTTCCCACAAACTGCACCAAACTCCACTGTGATTGTGCAGGACTCTTTAGGAAGGCTTCTCTGGAAGAGCAGGCTGACCTGTCCTTGGGAAAGAGATGCAGGGCTCAGCTCTGTGCCCAGAGGAACCCCTGATCAGAGCCTGAGACCAACCATCGCTCAGGGACTGAGTTGGTCATGCTGCTGTGGCTGTTCTGTGTGCCCTGGGGCATGACAATTGAAATGGCTGAAGACTGAGAGGGTCTGATACTATTTGGGTGGAGAGAGTTTAATAGTAGCATATGTATGCCTGCAGTACTGAAAAACTCATTGATTTGGACAATACTCTTGAACATAGGGTGTAATTCTTGGGGATGGACCTGTGCAGGGCCAGGAGTTGGACTGGATGATTCTTGTGGGTCCGTTCCAACTCGGCATGTTCTGCGATTCTGTGACCGGTGGGGAACTGTCTTGGGCTAATATTATGATGGAAATCTTCCTTTGGCTTTGCTGAGCATTAGATAAGTCCTGTATGATGGTCCATATCACAGTTACGCTGTATCTACTCCCTGATGTCTTTTCATGTCTAAACCAAAGTACTGGTGCACATGACAACATGTGAAATTCTAGGTGCAGCACGAGTAACTCAGCAGTTAAAGGGCAAAATATATTTTCTGACAGAAGGTTATGGGTGAGAAGAATTTCCTCTGTGCTGAAGGACTTGAAGATGCTGTTGTGTGATGCTGTGATTCCCTCCAGTGCTGCGTACACTGTGTAAGTGAGAGTTCCAAAGGCAGAGATCCATTCTGCTGCATTCAAAGCCCAGTTCTAGGTCTACTAGTGTTGATTTTCAAGCTGAACTGAGCCCAGTTTGCTAAAATCTCTAATCAGTGGCTCCATGGGGAAAGAAGTCCCAGCTGTGGGGCGGCTGGGGAGCAGCAGTGATGCTCAGAAGCTCAGTGCTAATCCTGTCTCCCTCTGCGAGGAGGAAAGTGCTTTAGGGATGTGGCTTCCTAAGCCCACTCCTGGAGCTTCGGGTGGCAGTTTTCAGTCTGAGATTGAAACCTTGGGAAAGAGAAGGAATCACGTCCCATGAGCAACAAGAATTGAAACCCTCTTCCGAACAGAAACCTACCCTGTGACGCAAGAGGTGTAAATCAGATACTGGCATGTCCCACTCTCTGGCAGTGGAGCTGGGGTGGGTCTGGTGGCTGAGAATGCTGCTGCCATGTGGTCCTGCAGCCACAGGCACATTAGGATGCCAGTGGGATGCCATCTCATCTAGGAACTGTTCCAATGTGGGAACAGCCCCTTCCCCTGCTGGTGTTGCTCTGGGTTGTGAGTCAGAGCCAAACCTAGGGTTAGGCTCCAAAATAACCACTGATTTCAGGGCTATCCAGGGTCCCAAGAGCTGGAGTGGGGTCGGGAGCCTCAATGCCTCTATCACCCCTCTGGCTCACCCCTAGAGCACCACGGGTGGTCCATCTGCCTGGTGTCACCCTGGGATGTGGTGGGAGAGAGTTTTCAAGGTGCTGTGAAGGCTTAAACTAAAGCTTGTAATGATCTTAGTGGGATCTGGGTACTTATGGGTGCAAGCCCATGAGGCATTTTCGAAAACAGACCAGAAGTAAGTGGTAGAAAGGGAAACGCTGTTGTTTGGGCCATAGGACATTCTGGGGTTTGTTTTTTGCTGATTGTGATGTTTCCCTGGCATGAGTTCAATTCATCCTCTTTACCTAATGAGAAAAAGCAAAGCTACGTGTCTTGCTTTCCTTGCAGGTGACGGAGCTGGACTGGATAAACTTAATTGTTGTCTTTGAAAAATCTTTCTCTCCTTGCATAAGAGTATTTAAAAAAAAAGAAATGATGACCTCATGCTTTCATGCTTCAAAAAAAAAAAAAAGTCTATTTCAGCTGATGCTTGTTACAGCTCCTATTAACAATGTTTGAACCAAAAAAGGAGGTCCAGATGTGATGATTTTATTATCCCAAATTGGGTTTTGGTCACTGAGCTTGCATTTGGATAATTAATTTTTCCTTTTCTTTTTTTTTCCTTTTCCAGCCTGATGGCACCAGTAAGGAGTGTGTTTTCATTGAAAAAGTCCTAGAAAACAACTACACGGCGCTGATGTCTGCAAAATATTCAGGCTGGTATGTTGGATTCACCAAAAAAGGGAGGCCGCGGAAAGGGCCCAAAACCCGGGAAAACCAGCAAGATGTACATTTTATGAAGAGGTACCCAAAGGGGCAAGTGGAGATACAGAAACCTTTCAAGTACACAACAGTCACCAAGAGGACTAAGAGAATACGACCCACCAACCCCAGTTAAAAATAGATTAAAAACAGTGTCACAATAAGAAACCACAAAAAGAAAAAAAAAACTGCACCAGAGGAATATTTTTACATTAAAAATAAGGAAGAAGCTCTATTTTTGTACATTGTGTTTAAAAAAAAATAAAAATAAAAAAAATTAATAAAAGACTAGATGACAAATGCTGGGGAAAGCTGTCCGGGATTTATTGTGACTTGAAAAATGAAATGAACTGCTCTATTTAAATTGACTTCTTGTTGATGACACACAGGTGCTTATTTCGCTCTTTGGAAAGGACAACTTTTCAAGCATATCCCCAGAGGGAAAAAAAAAGTAATTATTAAAAATAAATAAATAAAACCAAAGAAAACCAAAGTTCTTTCCCAAAGTTACTGAGACCCTGCCCCAAAAAGTGCCGGTTTTGCAGTAATCTATTTATTGTCTGCTGCCCGCTGGCCCAAGACAAGATGGTGTGTGCTGCAGTGAGTGAGTTTCTGTGGAGTTCTCGACGCATGGATCTTCTGTAACCTTCCTGACGACATAAGGTGTCACGGCTCCGTGATCCTGCATTATGCTCAGTTCTGGAGAATGCTGCTAAATACATTCAAGTGACTACAAGATGACCTAGTACACCAATGATAAGGGAATATTTTAAAACCAGCTATATTATATATATTATATATATATAAGCTATTTATTTCACCTCTCTGTATATTGCAGTTCCATGAACCAAGTATTACTGCCTCAACAATTAAAAAGAATTATTTAAAACACATGTACATATTTTTGCTGTTCACACTTCTTTCCCCTCCCTGAGTAGTGGTTGTTTAAATGTGTATTTATCTTTTATGTGAGGGCAGCCGGATATGTTCAGGGTAGTTTCCCTGCTACGAACTCCATTGCTGATTCTGTACGTCCTCCTGTTACTTAATACCATCTTCCTCCCTGGTTGTTCTCACAAGGAAGAGGTCTTGCATGGGGTGAAGATGGGCTGAGCATGGCAGGATCCTCGCTGGGGTGTTTAAAGAGCAGGACTTACATTTGACACTTTTCGGTCCAACCAATATTTCCTAATGTTTGGCCAAGCAGAAGGTGAACTGGAACATGAGCATCTGACTCCATTAACACGTCCTTACGAGCGGCTCGTTTCCTTCATTAGGGGTTTTAGAGGGCCTATTGGTTTCAGCTGTTGAATTCAATATTGTGACTTTTAAAACTTGCCCTCAACTGGACAAATCCTTTCCCCTGGTTCTCCCAGCCCATCAAGTGACTTGCTTCCCTGGTCAGCCCAGCCAGGTTTTCTCCTGGGAGTTCTGCATAGGACATGGATGATGTGAAGTGACCCATACACAGAAAGTGGGGGAAAAAAGCAAGCTGAAATAACGGACCTCAGATTTTAGCTGAAATGACAACTGGGCCCAAGTGAAGTTTTAAGGAGGTGCTCACTTGGCTTTCCCCTTCTCTCTGTGTGCAGACATTGCTGCACTCCCTGGCTGCAGCCAGGGCTGGAAATGCTCAAAGCTACTAAGAAAGCTTTTTCTTGTTAATCACAAGAATGACTCTCCCCAGAACAAGCTTTCTCAAGATAACTTTGAGAGCTGCAGCCAAATCCTGCAGATCAAAGCTGTTAGGGAGATGGTGCAGATAAATGTGCAAGCTTGAGGATGCTTATCTGAACCAATCTCCAAACCTTGCAAGCCTAGAAGAAAATGAACAGTGCTGAGCAGAGTCACTCCATGCTGTTCCAGGAGAAGCTGGGCAGCTGTACAGCTGATAGACTCACTCCAGCTAAGCACAGGAGGTCACTCGAGCAGCCCCTCTCCTGGTGGATGTGCTGGGAGCTGCTCTCCTGGTGCACCTGGAGACAAGCACAGAAATGGGACCCAGTGGCATGGTGGTGGAAGTGGTTGGTGGGGGCTGGAAGGCTTTGCCAGCTTTGTCTTCAGATTGATTCGTGTGGGAAAGGTTTGGGGAAAGTTCAGAGAAGTGCTGGGGTGGAGGACTGGGAGTGGCTGTAGATTTGCTATGTTAGTACCTCCAAGAAGAGAAACACAGTTGATTTCCAGAGTGAGAAAGGATTTATGAGTGCTTTTTTAATCCACCCCTCATGGTTTCACTGTCAGAGCGACAGGGTTGGTTTGCTATCGCGGAAATTTGAAGGGGTGGAGGCAGTAAATGCTGGAGAAGTCTGGGCAGAAGGGATCTCCTCTGAGGCTGAGAGCAACCAGGGAGGATCTGCTCCCCGTCCCATGGTGCCCGCTGGGTTTGGAGGTTGTCATGTGGGATGGACGGGCCACTCAGTTGGCAGTTGGGGCCTCTGGCACTTGTGTCATGGGTTGGCGAATGTTTCCCGGACAGCAGTGAGACAGGTTCTTCAGGCTGTGAAAAGGCAGTGTGGGGAGGAGATGTGATGCTCCCCTGGATTAGGTGCTGTCAGTGGGATTTGTTGTCTGAGAATGGTGCTCATTAAGTATTTGTGTTGAACATCTGCTCTTCAGGCTTTATTAACAACAGAAGCAGGGCAAAGATGAGAAGAATTCATGTCAGGTTCCCTTCAGAGGACCTTCACATTGGACAAAAGGGTGCTCTGGGGAGAAGGCGTTCAAGAAATGAACAGAAACAGGGGAAATCAATCCTGTGCCCAGCAATGAACAACCTTGTGCTTGTGGCCACCAGGCACGTGGTGTTCCTGCACCTGGATGTTGCTCGGTGCTTAGGCCAGGGGTTGTAAGTGGTTGTCAACAGACCACTGGACAGGTCTCTCTGCTGACCTCCAGACTAGAGAAGCTTGTCTGTGGTGTTTAACCCAATTTTTTCCTTCCAGAAGGTCTTTGGTATCCCTGAATATGAGCTGAGATTTCCCATGTAGACTGTGACATTTGATTTATTTTATAATTGAAAATTGTTAATAAGGATTTAATTACTATTGTGAAAATAACCTCAAGAGCAAGGGGCGTAACACTAGGTGATTGCTTGAAGCAACTGATGGCATTAATGTGTGTGGAGCTCTGAGTGAGCACACTTTAACAGGTACACTAATTAATTAGGTTTAATAAAAGCGTTTTGTGGCTACTGTCTCAGAAATACTGCTGGATTTGTCACAAAATCACAATAGCTGAGATCAGATAATGGCTTGGTCTGATAACACTGGCTTTGTCATGAAGCCGGGTGCAGGGCATCCTAAAATGTGTGTCCCACCCGGGAGGGAAACTCTGTGGGTCCAAGAAAGTTTTTTGAGCTTGTCGCACAAACCAGGCTGCTGTTTGGTCAGACCTTCTGAGTGGTGGGTCTCTCGTGCTGCCCCTGTGATGGTAAAGGGTCAGTGGCCAAAGCTCAGCTAGTGTCCAGTCCAAGTAGGGCAAACTCTTCACCATGATGGTGTTGTGCCCTGCCTGGGGCTTACCACTGGCCAAGAAGACAAAGAGTGTCCTGGTCCCTGTGCAAGGTGTATGCCAGCTCCCTGCCAACCTTCCTTGGACCACAGAGCTGTGAGCAGGTGGGAGCAGTTGACCAGCTTGCCATCCCTGCAGCTAGATTCCCCAAGCTGGTGTGATCTTTCCTGTTTGACATCTGAGTGGTTTTGTTCTGCCTCTGCCTTGTTGATGCAAATGCAGGTGCCACTGCAGGCTCTGTGCTGCAAGGCCAGGCGGTTGCTGCATATGGTGTGCCCTGATGGAGCCTGATCTACGCTCTCAGCTTTTGGCAACACAGCCTTTGGGAGCACAAGAACGTGAAATTTTTGTTCATTTTCATGTGCTCTCTCTGCAGTTTTTAGCTCAGGATCATCCCCATGCTGCTGGTTCACAGGCTGACAGCTCGGATGACCTTTCTGCAGATGTGAAGCAGAGTGGCAGCCTCTTCCAGGAGCAGGTTTGCAGTTTTAGCTCTGCCCTTCTGCAAGCAGAGGGTCATTGCACCTGCCCAAACGTGTAGTCTATCTATGCAGGGGAGTTGATCCCTTCAGCTCTTACACACCAGCAGGTGTGATATCTCTGTGGTTAACAATAGCTTCTGGGAGCATAGCTGATACATCTCTCCAGTAAATGCCATAAGGGAGTCCAGGTGAGAATGAAGCAATCAAGTCAAAAATAGTCTGGGGAAGGGATGCTGCCCTAGTGCTTCAGTGGCAAGAAGATTCAGTTTCTTATGTCCCTGGCTGCTGGAATTAAGGCCATAGTCTAAAAGAGCTGGATGCTCTAGTGCCTGTGAACCTCATGTGTCTGTAGGTGTGTATTGGAGTGGAGCAGAGCTTGGGGAGGATCTTGGAAAGCACTGTGAGGCCTCAGCTCAGCTCACCCCTGCCTGCTGCATTGCCTCCAACCACCTCGGTCTCTGCAGTAGCTTATTCTCCTGGGCTCATGCAAACATGGCAGGGTGGAAGCTAGGTCTGGTTTAAGCAAACACCCAGCCGACACCAGCCTTGGAGCAAGGCTTGACCGGCACTTGTGTAGCCCTATGGGTGGTATTCTGCCCCATGGATATCCATCAGCTTTCCTTGATTCTCCGAACAATTTGAGTCTCTGTACACAAAAGCAGTGGAGTAAGATTTCAACCAGGACTTTAGACTCCAGCTGGAGAAGATGGTCTTTGTCTTGTCTAGGAGAGTTTGTCCACCAAGGAAGATCTGACTGAGGAATAGGAGTCAACTCTAGGTGGGACAGAAAACATGTGTGACTTTGGCTCCGACACCCTGCTGTGTTACCATGTCTACCTTTGAAAAATAAGGCTCAAATATGTGGAAATGGGTGTGTTGGGGGTGTGTGTGTGTGGGGGTGTAGCAGTGGTTGTTCTTTTCTAGGGCACTGGATTACTGTACAATGCAAGTACCTGCTGGGGCAGGAGGAAGAGGAGCTGTTGGTGTGGCTGTACATACCCCCTGCAACAGCCCAGAGCCCCACTCGGTCCTGCTTGTCCACCAGAGTAGAGAGGAACACACAAAGCATAGGGTGTCCCCCAGCAAAACAGCTTTTCTCTGCTGTCCACTCTCAGGCATTTAACATCGTGGTTTGTGTCTGCTGCAAGGGAAGGCAGGTATATTCCTATGCATAATTTCCTTGTGGTGTGCCAAAGGGTGGAAGCTTATACTTAAGATTCACAACAGCTGTTTAAAGTGCCTGTGTCTCGTGCCAGCCATACCACCTGAATGGCCAAGGGATATATATAAAACTTCAATTATTTTTTGAATGTTTGTTGTTATTCATTTGGAGACGGATGAGAGGAGATTCCTCACAAATGATGTAACCTATGTAGAGTCTGTTATTTCCAACAGTGTGAGCTGAAAAATTAGGGAGGAAAAATCAGGTCAAACCAAAACTTTTTTTTTTTTTTAAGGAAGACAAAGTACTGAGTGGAGTGATTTGGGTTTACCAGAGACATTTAATTCACCATATTAACGATTTCCTTAATTATATGTGATTTTATAGGGGAAAAAAAAAATAGAAGCTTCACTTCGAAAGCAAAAAGCAATTATTTGATGCCTAAAAAAGTCTCCCCTGCCTATTTATCAGTTGACACTCTTTTCAAAGTCCCTCAATAGATTTGAGCCCCCTGCTAAAACTCCAATGCTGTGTCAGTTTGCTGCTTCTTTATCAGGAAAGCTGAGGCTCTGGATGGTAACTCCCACCACCTTTCCCAGAGCCCACTGATGGGTGCAGACCCCAAACCTTCACTGAGTTGACCCTGTCCTACCAGTTTCTGCTGCCCTCCTGCTCCTCCCCTTTCTCCAGAAGTCCTGGTTGATTGGAACAAAGCTCATGAAACTGTTTTC